CTGTCTCCGCTCTCGGCCGCCTACCACCACCATCACCCGCAGCAGCCGCCGCAGCAACAGCCGCCGCCTCCACCCCGGGCCGGCGCCCCGCCACCTCCTGCCTCGGGGACGCGGGTGGTTCCAAACCACCACCACAGCGGCTCGGCCCCAGCGCCGTCCAGCAAAGACCTCAAATTCGGAATTGACCGCATTTTGTCTGCAGAATTTGACCCCAAAGTCAAGGAAGGCAACACACTGAGAGGTAGGTCTTGCGCGGGAGGCTGCAGGCCCCTTTGACCGCGGCCCGAACTCCAGGCGGGTTTGGAATGCCTCGGAGCGTTTTTACAATTAGGGACAAATAGGTAAAATGGGGGAGAAGAGAACGAATTGTAAGAAAGCTAAGAAATACTAGGTCTAAAACTCACCTGCTCTACATAAAAAAATCACTCCGTGGATGCTTTTAAAACACACGTCGAAGAATCAATATTCATAAAAATGGTTGTTGTAAACATGTGCTAAAATGACTACGGCCTGTCTCTTTAATTACATATCTAGAGGGAGAACATATTTTCTGTCAGGGAAAGCCCTTTGGGGGAACACTTTCCCTTCCATTTATTTAATTTCTAGTAAATTCCACCCAAGGAATGTAGATAAACAAAACCATCGGTCTGAACTCCCGGGAGGAGCGAGCAGAGAGAGGAGCGAGCAGACTGGGGGCTTCTGAGGTGGGGGTTCTAGGTCCGTGGAATTCTTAGGAGGCACCTGAAAGTAACGTCCTTAGGGCCCTTTTCCGTATAGCCCTTCCGTGCTACGTGCGTGGACGTGGACGTGAGCGGCACACACAGGAGCATTTGGTGCATTGTTCCTTGGGGACTGTCGGGAGAAGTTTCAGCAAAGACGGGGGGCTCTCATGGCTTCGCTCCAGTAAAACCGAATGGAGGGTGAGGGGAAGGGGAGGCACAAATCGGCCCAGAGAGTGTGTTTGTCCGAGGTGTAACCAGCTCTTCTCTTCCCTCATCCCCAGATCTCACATCCTTGTTAACCGGTGGGCGGCCCGCAGGGGTGCATCTCCCGGGCCTGCAGCCCTCCGCAGGCCAGTTCTTCGCGTCTCTAGATCCCATGAATGAGGCTTCTGCTATCCTGAGTCCATTAAGCTCGAACCCAAGAAATTCGGTTCAGCATCAGTTCCAAGACACGTTTCCAGGTACGGAAAACCTCCAGACTGTGGCCCAACTATCAAGTCGACTGGCAGAAATCTCAGACTGACGCCTCAAGGGGTGGCCGCCGTGTCGCAATCTCGCAGTTGGGGCGGGAGGCTACGAGGTCAGGGAGAGAGAGAAACCGAAAGATTCTCAGCGATCTAGCACTCGCTTCGGGCGTCTCCCCTGGGAAAGGAGTAGGGGAGCCCGGGGAGCCGAGAGTGTGCGCACAGGCTGGTGGGGGCCTTCCACGGTCTTTTCGCCCCTGAGGGTGGTTCGAAAATGCAGCATCAGGAGGTGTTGCTTATTAACACACGTTTTGGGATGACCTCAAACACTTTTGCACGGCAAGGTTATGTCTCCGTCTGGGAGCTCGCGCGCGCACACACACATACACACACACACACACACACACACACACACACAGTAGAGACTCAGGGTTGTCATCTGTAGATCATTCTGGCCTGAGGGACATTTTCGCCTACTCTTCACATGTCTGATGGCCATGCATGCCTTAGGCCTTCCGACCTTCGTCATTAAGAGCTGTAAAATTCCTCCTTAGAGAAGCCATGCGGTATGCGTGTGGAGTGCTTTTTGAATGGGGCTGGAGCCCACCGTTAGCAGGGTGAGCCCCAGGCCCGCTGGCCACGGACAGGGCACTAATGCGGCGCTCTTGTCTCTCTCTCTTCCGTCCCGCTCCCGCCCTGCGGCAGGTCCCTATGCCGTGCTCACGAAGGACACCATGCCGCAGACATACAAGAGGAAGCGCTCCTGGTCCCGCGCCGTCTTCTCCAACCTGCAGAGGAAAGGCCTGGAGAAAAGGTTTGAGATTCAGAAGTACGTGACCAAGCCGGACCGAAAACAGCTGGCGGCGATGCTGGGCCTCACCGACGCTCAGGTAAGCCCACCTGGACTGCAGCGCACAGCGCCCTCGGGCGGGCAGCGGCGCCCGGCACCCTGGCCGACTCGCTTCCTGCGATGGAACACAAGCTCTTGAATTTCACCAGGCTTTGTGAACTTCGCAACTTGAGGCAGGAGGAAGGGAGGGTGGGGGTGGGGTGAGGGAGACGGACGGAGAGATAGCCCATTTCCGAGATGTGTGTCAACAAGCACTGAATGTTTATTTTGGCCAATGGGCAAAAGCAGCGCCGAGAAAGCAAATAGGCCACGGGAGATAATAATTAGGTACTCAACTGTAGTGCAATTCGCTGTAGGAGGCAGCTAATTTCAGAAGAGTTAAAAACCCAAAAGCAAGCGATTGTTGGGTTTTTTCTCTCGTCCTCCCCCCCCCTTCCTCCTCCTTCTGCTGCTGCTGGATTGTGAAATCCCCAGTTGTGAGGAAGTGAAAATATCATTTCAAACGGAATTACTTAGCTCCAGTAGGGCGAGGAGTCCGCTTGGAGTGGCCACAGCCCGATGTTCCAACGGTTTAGGCTCCGAAGAAAATCTCCGTGGGGGGACGGGTGGGAGGGAGGCGGTGAGGAAAGAAAGAAAGAAAAAAGATTTTCTTAGAATGCTCAAGAGCATTTCAGCAGGTTCTGCCTACTTGAACTTTTTCTCAAGACATTAGGAAATCTATCCTGCCTGAATTGATTTGATTTTTTTCTTTTTCTTAAATTCAGGAACCATGATTTCCTTTTATTTTCTTTCCTTTTTCTTTCTTTCTTCTCTTTTTGAGTTTTGACTATAGAAGAGTCTGTCGTTCACACTCCACAGCAGTGGCCCTTGCTCCCTCGGTCCTGACTGTCCCCAGAAGGGCAGAAGCCTAAGGCAGTCTTCTTTTTCTTCGCTCCCTGACACTCACTCTCTCTCTCTCTCTCTGGAAGAGCCCAGCCATTTTCCACCAGCTGTGGATGTTATTTTTAAAAGAGAAGCTGGAACTTGTGTGAACGCGTTGAGTCCCCCAGGGGATCGTATATATTTATATAGATTCTTTGCCCCATCTCTACCTCCACTTTGCACATGTTTTATTTCAGCATTTTCTGAGCCCCTGGGAGAATTAGTTTATCCCTGGCAGGAGCAATGGTCCTTATCAGCACTTGAGCAAACCTGGTAAGGAAATGCTCTTCTACTAGGAAAGGCCAGTCGTGCCCCCACCCCACTGGGATTAACTCTTTGAATCCTCTTTCCCATTTCTCCTCCTCATGGTTCCTCCTTAAAAAGAATCGCTTTTGTAGGGACTTCTTTTGGGGTAGTAACAGTAAAAGAGAGAGCAAATTTAGAGCAGGAATTCTTAACATTGGCTCACCAAACGATTCAAAGTGTGTGCAAAATCTTGGGTATATGTGCATTTTTCTGGGCCAGGAGTCATGAACTTTAATCAGATTCTCATGGGGTGTCCTGACTCAAGCAAGGTTAAAAAGCACTGATTTAGACTAGAGAGCTTTTGTAGGCTGGGGGTTGGTGCAGGAATCTGCCTTTGCAACAAGCGCGCAGATCATTTCAGGTGTGAGGTCGGAGGCCACATTTTGAGACCGGCCCTGGTGGGCTTGTTAGGCAATGATCACTGGCCTCCTGTTTCCCCTGGGCTGTCTCTCGTCACCTGCACCTAGCACAGTGTCTGGCCCTTGGCAGAGGGCTGGGAATTGTAAGCGGTGCTTTCCTGCCTTAGGAGATGGCTTGCGGGTGCACAGTGCGTCAGATCCGAGCAAACCTGTGTCTCACCTCCGTGTCACTTCTTGTCTCCCTGTGTGGCGCTGCACAGGTGAAAGTGTGGTTCCAGAACAGGCGGATGAAGTGGCGGCACTCCAAGGAGGCCCAGGCCCAGAAAGACAAGGACAAGGAGGCCGGAGAGAAGCTTTCAGGTGGAGCCCCGGCTGCAGAAGGGGAACAGGAGGAGAGGAGCCCCAGCCGCTCTGATGGCGAGGCAGAGAGCGAGAGCAGCGACTCTGAGTCCCTGGACATGGCCCCCAGTGACACGGAGAGGACTGAGGGGGCTGAGCGGTCTCTGCACCAAACCACAGTTATCCAGGCCTCAGCCGCGTCCGCGGGCGCCCTCATCCCCGCCAGCAGTGGCGGCGTCAGCAGCCTCAGGAGCAGCAGCACCAACTCGGGTAGCACCGCCAGCCTTGGCAGTGGTGGCGGCGCCTCGGAGCTGCTCCCTGTGCCCCAGGCCACAGTCAGCAGTGCTCCCCAAAGCCCAGAGCCTGCCCAAGCTCCACTTGGTGGCTTATAGACTGGACCAGGGCAAAGGGGGCCCGGGGCCCTGCGTGCGGGCTTGCAGCCGCGGGCAGGATTTTGCGCCTAGTTTATCTTGCCAGGGCAAGGGCCGGAGGCGCAGGAAGTGTCCATTCAGACGTTCATCACACACTTCACCCTCCGCCGCCCCGGCTGGCTGCAGCCCACACTGCCCAGAGCGGAGGGGAGTCTTGGTGTTCCCCAGCCTAAGGCTCCCATCGCCAGTGGAGCACTTCTCCTAGGACACAAGCAGCTCGCACTGTGAAGAGTTAACTAAACTGTTCCTCCCTGCAGCGGGTGTCAAAAGGCGCAAGACGTGCTGCACTTAGGAAGACTTAAACTTGTAAATAAAATGTTTACTACGGTTTGTAAAGGCCGCTTAGCTTGCTGGGGTCAATGCAGGCATTAAGGCCAGGGAATCTCGGACCTTAGTTCCCGGGGAGCTGCAGAAGGCAACAGCTGAAGGTGGGGGGCTGGAGCTTTTGGGGAAAGTGGCTCCACTTCAGAGCCACCTTGCTGCAGAGGTCGGCGTTGGGGCTTAAAGTTTTCACCTAGTTCAGAGGTCGCATAGCAAGCACCAACAGCCACCGAGTGTGCGGTCTGAGACCCTGTGCGTGGCCTGAGAGTGAAGCAGGCCATAGGATCCCTCAGGTGGAGCAGATGCCTTCCCCATCCGGAGTCTGTGTTCAAGGAGTATGTGTCTGGCTTTCCGTGGCTCCAGAGTGCGTCTCGGCACAGCCAGAAGCCTAAGCAAGTCCCAGAGCTGGCACAGGGACGCAAGGATGACCATTCCATGCCCCAGCCATCTTCCCATCCCCCAAATGGAGTTGAACCCCTAGAGAAAAGAGCACTGTGAAGAGAGGAGAGGGAGCAGGAGGGTTGTCCAGAAGAGAAGAGAAAAGAAAGGTAGAGCGCCCTACAAGGGGCCCGCAACTTAAATAGGAGCATGAGCTAGCTGTTATCCCCAATTGTGCAGCCTCTCCACCTACTCTGGGGTCCATGCCTGGGCTCCCTGCCTGGGCTGGGTAGTTCCACCAAGCCTTCTGAAGGCTATGCTATCCGAATTGTGGGATTCACTCTGTACCTCAATTTTTGCCTTATTCTATTTTGCCTTCATTGCCGAGATTCGTTCCCTCTGACTCCCCCAAATATTGAAATTCTGAATCCAGGATATCCCAAGAGCACTGAATTTTGAGATACTTAAATCTATTTCTGGTGTTAAGGAGAATAAAGTGGTGGCATATACGAGTATAGAGGAGTGGATCCCGGGCTGGGAGGAGAGACCGAGAGGGGTTGGTGCTTTATGCAAACCGAACCTACCCCGGCTCCTTACAGGGCCCTCGAGGTGCCCCCTGCCACCAGTCCCCCCACATCTCTTCGCCGGGGACCGAGGCTTCAAAAGAGAAGGAAATCACCACTCAGGGAATGTAATGATGAGATTTCAGGTAGAATTAAGCTTTATCTAGGCCAAGTTCGTCCAGGCCAGGGGATGCCACGGAGCTGGGAGGCTAAGGACTAAGTGAGCCAGGCGGCGGGCACCTGGGGGCTGGAGTCGGGAGGCTGGATGATCCTCAGGAGCTCACAGGAAGCGCCCCTGTCTCGGCCACCCTCACCTCCCAGTTCCTTGACATTTATGCCCCGAAATTCTTGCGGGGTTTTACCCTGGCAGGGGAGTTCTTCGACAATTTCATCGAAAAGGGATATCGCAAACCCCGGAGAAGTTTAAAGTTCATTTGGAAAAGAGCAGCCGCAAGACGAAGGCTCCACTCTGGGCGGTAAGGGTGGCCGGGGAGAAAGGCCGCAGTTCGGGCTCGCTGGGCCCCGGGTACTGTGATCTTCCCGGCGGTGCTCCGTGCTAGCAAGGCCGGCCTGGGCAGACAGATTGTCAACCAAGAACGAGTTTTCAGACGCGGAAGGGAAGGCCGAGCGCGGGAGGCCCGCAGGCGCCAGACCCGCCCGACTGAGGCTTGGAGGAGCCGGCCGAGCGCGGTCCCCAGAGCAGAGCACAGCCTCGGTGCTGCCCCTCCCGCTCTCCACCCAAGACCAGAGCTTTCCTCCAAGCAGTAAGACTTTTTTGCTCGGAGCAGGGCTCTGCCTCTCCGCCTCAGGAGTCGCCGCGGCCCGAGCCCTCTGAGCAAGGCTACAAGGGCGCACAAAGACACACAGAACGATGGCGACCAGAGCGCGTTTCCTTGTGCGGGTGGGGGTGGTAGGGACCCAATACGCCCCCACCCCCATCCCGTATACTCACACACACAGTCACAACAGAGACACACACGCCGACACGTACAGACACAGGAGAGGCAGGCAGTCGACGGGCCATTTCAGCACTTTCTGTGCAAAACCACGCAAATAAAACTCCCTGCTTTCCTCCATATGGCAAAGCAAAGAGAAGGCCTTATTTTGCCTGCGTGGGTGGGTGGGGCGCTCGTCTCGGTAGAAGAGTTTCCTAGCGCCACGTTCCGCCAGCCAAACCACTGCAAGCCGACGCCGCATTCCCCTCCGTTTGCCGGCTTCAGCCGGCAGCGGGCAGAGAACTCAGCGCCCACCCGAGCCAAAGCTGTGCGGCCCTGCGGTACTTCAAGGCCAGCTCTTGCCTCCAAAGAAGGCTCCAGCCTCATACCAGCCAAGGAGATCGCTCCTTGTCCTCCCCCCACCGTCACTCCTGCAAGGATTCCAGTGTGCGTGTGTGCGTGTGCGCGGGGGCAGTTGCTCAGATTCTGGTTGTCACAAATCTTTCTGACTCTTTCCGCACCTCCGAGAGGAGCATAAAGGAAGCCCAGTCGCTCTGGGATCTTTTCCCTGGCTGCTCTTCCTACCCCGGGTCTCGAGTGGGATGTCGGTAGGGGCTAGGCTAGGTTGCCGACCGTCCAGGACTCCTCTTCGAGGTACCAGAGGCCAATGTAACCGGAGAGTGAACCCTGGTTCCCGGCCTGAGCGCGCCGCCGCCTACCGGAGCCTGGGGGGCCCCGAAGGGGGGAAGGGGGAGGCGCAGGAACCAGGGCCTGCAGCAGGGATTTTCTGAGGGCGTTTAAAACTTGAACTTTGTGAACTTTAATCTATCGAGGTTTAACCTGTCGAGCTTCAACCTGTTTCAGGATCCGACCCCACCTTTCCTCAAGTCGACGCTAACCGTTAACTCCCGCCTGGTCTGCGGAATAGGTCTAGGGTGGCTCTGGAGCAAGATGTGGGAGGCTGAGGCCGACTACTCCCACTGCGTGCGCCTGATCCCCTCCAGCTTTGTCCCCCTATAAGTAGGAAGAGCTGTCACTCGGTTAGAGCGTGATGCTGGTAACACCAAAGTCAGGGGTCGGGATCCCCTTAGCCGCCAGCCGCGCGCGCGCGCGAGAGACGAGGAGGCAGGAGGACCGCGACCGCCGCCCTCCCCACACCGCTAGTGAACTGCTTTACAGACGGCCGAGGGGACTCTTAAAAACGCGGGGACGTCGCGTTCCTCCTTTAGCCTCTGGGGGGCGGAGGACTTGCACACTCCCTGGTCTCGACGAAGGTGCACGTATTGGGTTTTAAGGAGGACTTAACTGCAGGTGTTCGGGCGGGGCGTGGGGGAGAGAAAACCCCAGATTTAACTGCTCAGGCGCACGCCTCACTCACAGCGCCACCTTCGAGGCTGGAATGGGACTAGCCGGCGTCCCAGAGACAAACGAAAGGCCTTCTCCGCGGCTTGTCCTCACACGCGCGGGTACGAAAGCCCACCGCGCGTACCCTTGCGCGGCCCTCCTGGGAACCCAGAGCGCTTGCACGAGGCGGGGGCCTTCCTAAGACATCCTCCCTACGCGGGTTCCAGCAGAGCTGCGGGCCCCGCCTGGGCGAGCTCAGGGAAGCGCTGGCCCTTGGTTCCCTTCGCTGCCTCTGTCATTTTAGAGATCAAGTACAGATGTCCATGAAGGTGCGATTACTTCTGGCTTCCTCATCTTAGGGATGAGGCAACAGAAGCTGAGAGGAGTGAGGACGCTTGCCCCAGGTCCCCTGGAGAGTGAGCCCCAGGACTGGGATGGGCCTTGGGATCAGTGCCTCCTGAGGTACACAGGAACGTGAGAGCTTCTCCCGGAACATCTCTGACCAGCCGGATACTGATCCGGATTATCAAAGTTCAATGGGTTTTAAAAAAGAGCCTGAGAGGTTCGACCTCAGCCAGGGACTATGGGCTCCCGTTATCCCCTCCTCTTCCCCTCGGTGGTCCCTGAGGGATGCTCCTCTGGGAGTCTCAATCCTGGGCCTCGTCGAGGTTGACATAGTGCCCTCCAGCCTGTGCTGCCTCAGTGGCAGGTTTAGCTTAGCTAATAGTGTCTAGGGCCCTGGCCACACCCAGTTCATGGGACGAGGCGTCATCCGCGGTGCTTTTTGGTTTTTGTCGGTCGTCGATGACACTTGGGATTCTGGACAGCACGCGGAGCTGCAGGCCGGATCGCCCCCGCCTGGCAGCCGCAGCGCTGGCTTCCCTCTTCCGCTAGCCTCGGACGCAGCCCGAGCCGCCAGATAAGAAGCCTCGCTCTCCCGCACAATCCAGGGCGCGCGACAGACGAGGAACCAAAAAGAGAGGCCGCCGAGGCGGCAGAGGTGGCCCCACCTGACGCGCGCTCAGCACTCACCCGCTCTGGTGACCCACAGGGACTCTCTGGGTCGGGGAGAGATACGGGAAGATGCAGGTAGGTGGAGCCGGGAGCCGAGTGCTCAAGAAGTAGTGGCCTGGTGCCCACCAGGCATAGGAGGACCCAAAGTAGCCCCGGAGGCATTCATTCGTTCGTTTGTGCATTCGTTCATTCTTTCACTCACCAAATACTAGCCGCGTGACCTTGGGAAATTTATCCAACCATTTGGCTTTGGTTTCTTCAGCCGTGTAATAGAATATAATCAAAGATACCTAGCTCATAAATTGCTTTGAGGATTAATCGCATTTAAAAACTTTAAATGAGAAAAGCTGCTGGTATACAATTAGAGCTATAGGCTTAGCTGTTACTATAGTGCTTTCTTTATTCGTTTACTCATTGCGTTACTTACTGAGGTCCTTGTTAGTATTTGCACAGTAGGGAAAAATGCAATACAATTCTTACTCTCTAATAAATAATTGGATGGAGACTCGTGGATGCAGTGGGCCATGACCAGTGTCCCTAGGAAACGCTTCAAGGAGTAGCCAAAAGAGTTTGTATGCACTGTCTGGTGATGCCAGGGGTTGCTGCGTCCCCCCCTCCCCATTCCATCTGTCGTCCATAGGCACTTCTTCCTCTTGATGTTCCTGGCACTGTCCCCAGTGCCCAGTGCACACAGCAGGCGCTCGAAAGAACGCTTGTAGATGTGGTTGGGTATTACCCTTGGGAGTAAGAAGGGGAAGAAGCTAGAGTTTTCTGACACTTA